TATGAACACAAAGATGAAATTCGTATTGAGGCGCGAAACAAGGAGAAATTCATCGTGCCGTTTGGAAATTATTGACAAATATATGGAAAATTCGTAAAAACATATAGTGAAATGATGATGGGATAAAATTTTATCATGTACAAAATATTGCCGTGGGTAACGAAGGCGAATACGTTCTCAGAGATTACGATCAAACGCGAACGAGTACCTATACAAAAACCAAAACGCCGATTTTGATAACAAAATTTACACATTTTACAACTTGTACGTACTTAAAATTTTTTAATAAAAATACTAATTGTTTAATAAATTAGTTGTGTTTATGAATTTTTCCCGAATATCTTCAAATTTATCCACTTTTTTAGTTATGAGCTGACGCTTCGATCTTGTTACAGAGTTCTTCTTCAGAGCGATAATAACAGGCTCGTGGTTGTAACTTTACTGTCGGTATAACTTGTTTATTATATGTTTTAAAATCAGTTGATAACGAATAACGTCAATGTTCTTTACCTGTTGTTGTTTTGTCGTGTTGTTGTTGACAGGTATCGGTTTGTTGTTAACATCAGGTTTTTGTTTTTGTTGTTGTTTACAGCATTCTTGATATTTATCATTTCTTTTTCTACACCGGTAATTTTCTGTTTTGTTAATTGTACTTTTTTTACACCTTAAGTTGTTTTCTTTGCTGTATGTTGTTTTTCTTTATGACTGGTGTAATTTCAGACACCTCTACTCTGTTGTAATTTTCTGGACATTTTTCAATTTCTATTAATTCTCTGTACATTACCATATGAGCTTCATTGTGCAGTGTTGAAAAAGTCAAAATACTTAGTTCGGGTCATCGCAGTGTAGGAAGCTAGGGTTTTGTTATGTTTGGTTTAAGCATTTAATGTATTAAGCAAATAACTAAAATTGAGCTTGCATCTACCATAGATTACTATATGCATCACTGAAAAGACGTGTATTTGTCAACAAATAGGTTGAAGTAATAAAAAAGACAGCGACAAAGATTCTTAATAAAGCTAAAATATAACTGATGGAATACATTTTAATTTATACGAGATTATTAAATCTATTAATAAGGATTTCTCTAAACAGATCATTTATGAAAACATATGTTATCGTTGAAAGGACATTGAAGAACTACATAACGGTAACAAAAGAGCAATTTAGAATATGTAAATTATTAAACGATTTGTATCTATGTTCTAATAAAAAGCCCATCTATTTAAGTTAACGCAAAAAATGTTTCCAATTGAAATTATTCAGAAGACCGTCAAGTTTACCGTCCATTTATCAAAATAAACTCCTTTCAATAATCTCAACAGTGTGGCAAAAACTGCTGTAAGGTTTCAGCCAAATCCGAGGGCCTACTATTTACCCACTGTCCAGGGAAACACTGGACAGTGACTTAGTAGCCGAGTCAAGCAAGAGAGTACTTGTTGATGGAGCTACTAGGTTTTGATTTAAAAAAAAAACAAATATTTATAATTAAAATGAGGGAAGAGTATGAAGAAAAAGCATAGGCCATGTATAATATAATAATATTTTTGTTTAATTATTTAAAATTTATACGCATCATTCAAATATATATTCATAAAAAAAGAATAAAAAACCCAGCACAGGGGGGTCGCGGCATAGTGGTGACGTTGCATAGTTGGATTAATTATAATGATATCTGACAGTGATTATATATAAAAGTGTCAGACTTTTCGGAACACTTTCAAAAGTTCAATTGAAAAAGTCAATTTTTTGTGAAAAAGTAGTCATTTTGAATCCCTCCCTGTGGACAGGTGAAGGGTAAATTTAAAAAAAAAAAATACCTCATATAGTAAGTAAAGACATCAAGCATCTATAAAAAAAAAATTATATTGATATGTTTATTTTTGAAAAAGTTATAGCATGTCTTACTACTATTAATATTAAAGGCTATATACCTGAAAATATCATCATAAATAACCAATTAACTACCTGTATTTGCAATCCCTTATGTATTATACATGTATATTAACTCAAAAAAATTTACATCATAATAAACAATAAAAATTTTTTTATATATATTTATAATATAAATTTTATATTATATATAAATTATTATTATTATTATATATATATATAATATTGATGACATGCACGCATGTATGAATTGCACTGGATTTTGCACCGTGCCGTATACCAGGCGGTATTAGTCAGTCAAACAAATATATTCATAGTAGGGCGAAGCTTGATAAAGGCGGCACGAGTGGCGGGGCCATGTCACAATAAAAATTTGTTTATATATTGTCGTAACACAATAAAAGAAGGGAAACAGGTGTAAATGTAATTGTGATGTGTATGAAGATGAATATGAGGAGGTGGTGCCTGCTGTCTAGGTATTCACGTGCGTGTTGTCGTACAGCAGTCACCGTGCTCGGCTGACACTCCGGGTTAGCTGTGGGTGTCGAAAGGCTGTTGTTAAAGGAAGGGAAAAAGGGTAACACCTAGGTATGAGGTGCAGACGAAGTGCAAGACACAAGTACTTTGGTTATTAGGAGGATAATGAAGTACGAGGTGCAGACGAAGTGCAAGACACAAGTACTCTGAAATGTTGTGGAAGAGAGTAGATAGGTTTAAAAAAGAATAAAAAAAGATTTTACTTTAAGCAGTAAGCCGGACAGCGACAACCGAGTACTGAGGCTGATGAATGACACAAGGCACTGGAGTCTCGACTGACCACGATGGTCAGGTCTTTTGGGTTTTTATAATAATTAGAACTATTGCCAATTTGGCAATAAATATTATTTGTTAATTCATCAGTCTCGGAAAGCGGATGTGCTGTCTGTATTTTATTAAAATAATTCTCATAATAATGGTAACGTGACACCATCACAATATAGATATAATATTGATGATACGCGCGCATGTACGGGTACGAAAACCAAAAATAAAATTATACAGGAATAGTGTTGATGGCCTGTTGTGAGCAGGGTGGGGTGAATGCGTTACGACAGTCTAGTATCAAGGCTATAGACGACGGGATAACACGGGACGTGTGGAAAGTTACAAACATACATACAGGTAAAACTAATATAAGCGTGTAAAAATTAATACCCCTCAGTTTCGCATCGATCCAAAAATTATCTTTATTTATTCATTTCAAGATTATAACTAAAATATTCAAAAAATATCGTCACTTACTAGGTACACACATTACCACCGCTACAGTTTCTTTTGGATCGCAGTTGACATTTCGACTATGATAACAATGTTCTAATTTGGACTCATTGCCTATACATTCCACAGAAGATAAGACTATTGTATTGTTCAATCCACCAAATTGATTTGTTTGATAAACACTACCACTTGAATAACCTAGGCCCATAGATTGGCATACGACATTTGCTTCAAGAATTCCAAACCCATCACCACATATAACTCCCCATTCTAAATATATAATATATTGAGTAGATATTGTTTTTAACTGTTATAAGATACTAGTAATCAAAGGGGACTAAGGCGCTGACATTAGCATCTCCAAAAATTCAATAAATTATATATAGCACTATATAAGTACTCCAATAAAAATAACGCCGTTATTTAATAATAAAAATGAATTTTATAATAATAGCATTTTAATTCGCTAAATTACTAAGTAATTGAAGCCCCACAACTGGGCGTCCTCTCTACAAGTTATTGTTTATTTTTTTCAAAATTACTTGTATACAATGATATTTTATTTGAAGTAATTATTCTATATTTTATACAGATTGTATTTTTTTCTACATTAAGTTTATATATATATATATATATTTATATAACCTACTGATAAGTACTTTTATTAATTACTCTAATATATTAATAAATACTTATAGTAATTAAATTTACTATGAAAGTGATGTTGAATATTTTAATATTGTAAATTTTACGGAGAAATAATAAAAAAAATATTAAGTACAAATAAGTGCCTGGAGTGATGATATATGCAAGCTGCCTTCAAGAGTCCAGACCCAACCTAACCAAAGCCAACCGATCTGGCGCATGCTTTGCGTGCAGAGAGGGGTCACGTTGTAGAGGATTACCTTGGCAAATTGAAGGAGGCCTGAGAACACCAGGTTCTTACAGTTTTCAGTGTTTTTTGTGTCTTTGTTCATTTGTATGTATTTTAAGAGGGCATCTGCAGACGTCCTGTAGCGGTCCCAACCGGACAGGCGCGAGCTTCATATGCAAATCACTGGACTAACCTAAAAAGGCAGAAGGGCCGGAGAAACTTCTCTAAGGCATTTCCAGGCTTTTTGATATGTCTGTGTTCTTTGTGTCTGTGAATTATTTGCCAATTCATAGCAAAGTCCAACTTACTTCCATGTGGTGTAGCCTGAGCAACGGATCCCATTCTGTGACCCGGTTATCGGGGAAGGCCATGCTGTGCTATGACTCAGTTATTGATTAATTTCAGACTGAGTCAAAACTCAGCATAGTGAGCTTTATTTCGATTTTGGTCACCCTGTAGCAATGCCTTACGGTAATTCCAAGGCGATGTCTTATGATGATTGATGATTAGGTAATGAATTATGTCAACCGAGGAAAAAAAAAAAGAGTCGAAAATATTTCTAAACCTATTTTTCACATTTATTTCAAACCTTCAAATGGATTTTTTTCCATTGCAAGCGGGCTTTTTAGATTAGTAATTAGGCCTGTAACAACAACGTGGTTTGCCACTTGCATAACGACTAGCTAGAGTAGCAAGGGTCGCCACCACCTAGGCGAGGTGTCACACCTATCAGATATGATTACCGGACCATAGGTGGAATTTAATTTTAAGTTAATTAAAAGTATAATCTAAGTTAATATGTCGTTATATGTATAAATTACTATAATGCCTCGTGGTTTATAGAACACAATTATGACAATCAAAGTTGTATGTGGTTGATATGTAAAACATACCGTAGCCCGTGTCTAGATTAAGGAATAGGAATGAAATACACGCGAGTAATTAAGTTACTCGCGCAATAAAATAAATATTACAATTGAAATTAATAAGGAAATTTAATTTAATTGTTAAAAAAAGAAAATTAAGTTAAACATGGACAAAAATGCGAATGCATCAAAAACCATGTCTACAAATAAAGGCAATACAAATAAAATAAAATATTTAAACAAATAATATTACAAACATCACGGACGGTATTGGAACACATCCGTTAATGTTAACCGGAAATTAATGAAGAACACCAGGAGCGGTCTGGACACTCGCTCCTTAGCGTTGGCTAGAAGAAAAGGGAAACACGTGCTCTCCACACATAAACAAAATTAAGTTAATTTACAATAAAATAAAATGAAATAAAATAATTAATAAAATATAGCTCATTACATAAATATAATATAAAAAAGAAAACGATACCCGGTCTCCGAAGAGACCCATCCGATGGTCTGGATGCTTCGCCGAAAAGACCTGGCCGTTCGCCGTTGGCGGCTCTACTCCATCATTGAAAAATATGTCAATAAAACAACAAATGTGTGCACCCTAGCACGGTCAATGACAGAAGAAAGAATAGAGAAGAGTCAACACCGATCTAACGGCAATTTCAAAACGATAACGGTTACGGATAACGATAACGATAAATAAATAAGTAGACATAACAAAAAACCCAACCTTCGAATTTGTGACGTTACACCATCATTACTAATTTTAGCTTCGATGCGAAGCTGAGAAGGTATTAATTTTACTATGATGTGTTTTTTTTTTTTTTTTTTTGTGTCTGTGAACGCTCAATCTCAGCTCTCGCTGGACCGATTTTGATGAACAATATGTCAAAAGATCACAAATCGTATCTAGTCGAAGACATTACCCTCAAAAATTGAAAAAAATTCCCTCGTTCCCCGTAAACGGGGGAAATCCCCCAAAAAATTACAAATTTAAAAATCGCTAATTTTCGATATTTTTTCAATTTTTTTTACTTAAAATTGCCATAACTTTTTTAAAAATGACCGAATCAATATAATTTTTTTTTTTATAGATACCTTAGATAATTACCTATCATTTTATATATTTTTGTGAACATTTGACCCTTTAACAGCCCAAAAGATGGGGTTTCAAAATGATAACTTTTTTACAAAAAATTAACTTTTTCAACTTAACTTTTGAAAATGTTCCGGAAAGACTGACAATTTTATATATACCTTAAATTAAAGCTAATGTAATATACTTTAATTTGAAAAAAAAAAATTTGACCTCTGGACTTGTCTTCATGGTGAAAATGACTACCGTATGCAAAAATATGCTATTTTTGTGAAAAAATTCTTGATATTATATTTTACATTTTTTAACATTATGTTGCTATAACTTTTTAAAAAATGCATGAATCAACTTTATTCTTTAATGATAAATACTTTATATATACTTCTTTCATTGGACATAATTTTTTTTAAAATCGGACCATTTCTATTTATACAGGGGGGGTGCAAACCTTTTAAAATGCGTATAGAAAGTAGAACTTTTTCAACTTAACTTTTGAAAATGTTCCGGAAAGACTGACACTTTTATATATATCTTAAATTAAAGCTTATGTAATATACTTTAATTTGAAAAAAAAAAATTTGACCTCTGGACTTGTCTTCGTGGTGAAAACGGACATCAAAGTTAAAGAAAAACGTACGATTTCCGTGAAAAAAATCTCGATTTTATATGTTATATTATTTAATTTATATTTTATATAACTTTTGGAAAAATGTATGGATCAATATTATTATTTTTTTATAATAAATATTTATATACCCCTTTCATCTGGCACGCTTTTTTTGTAAATCGGATCATACCCCTTTAACAAGGGGGGTCAAAACTTTAAACATGCGTATTGTTACTACGATATTTTCAATTTAATTTTTGAAAGTATTCCGGAAATACTGACACTTTTAAATATATCTTAAATTAAAGCTTATGTAATATACTTTAATGTGAAAAAAAAAAATTTGACCTCTGGATTTGTCTTCATGGTAAAAATGACTACCGTATGCAAAAATATGCTATTTTTGTGTTAAAATTCTGGGTTTTGTATTTTATTTTATTTTAAAATACCTGACAAGGGGAGTACAGATTTTCATAAATATTATATAAATTAAAATTGATATAGTATAGATAGTTAAACTTATTTAAATATGTTTGTTTCTTTTAAGTCGAGAAAAATAACTTTGAAATTTGAACTAGCTTAAATAGCCAATTTTTCAACCGCCGGAAGCAACGTACGGTTGCCGAGTTGGTAAAATTTATGTTTTACACGCTTGGGGTACGAGGTTCCAACCCGCATATGGCAATGAATTTTTTGCATTTTTTCTTAATTCTTTTTAAGTTAGTATAAATTTTAACTCGTTTGATTTTTATCACATTTAGATTCAATAACTTCAATAAAGATCAAGGATCCCATCACTTTAGTCGCCCCTTGCAAGAAGAAATTTCTTATTCGTATTAAAATTATTTTACTATATTTTAAGTTTTCGCTTCGATGCAAAGCCGAGAAGATATTTTTTTGTGACTATCATTTATTTTCTCTGCTCTAACTTGACCTACTTTTTTCAACAATACGTCAAATTACTACAATTCGTATCTAGTTGAAGATATTACTCTCAAAAATTGAAAAAAAAATTCTAATTTATCAATTAAACAGTTAGTTATTACATCGTCTCCATAAAGACAATTAAAATCATTAATTTCTAATGTTTTCAAAATATTTATTAACGAATGAAGTTTGATATGATAGGTTTCAACTACAAAATTAAATCATTTTACTTTGTAATTTAATAATTTTATTACTCTGTTTGTGTGTGCTACTATTAGACTATAATATTCAAATTTTTTTCTAACGTGTTGCTATATAAATCATTTCTAAAAAAAATGATTGTTTTTTCTCCTGAATTAACAATTGATTTTTACAAATATAATCAAATTTTATAATAAACTCAATTGAGTAAATCTTTTTAACAACTTTGTTTTGATTGGTACATTTAGTTAAAGTAAATCATTAAAATTAATTAAGTTCTCAATATTTCAATTATAGAATCTTTTCAACAAACAACAAAAGTTCCTAGGAAATTATTACTATTACTTCTATTTAAGTTATCTATTACCATAAAAATGCAAAAAAATATTGAGCTTTTCTGATAAATTTACAATAAATAGTAATTATAAAACTTTCTGACTGCATATTGATCTTAACGATACAATTTTTTTAATTGTCATAAAATTTTCTATTTAATTATGTCAATGTCAAACTTACCAATTGAGCTAAAAGTTATGGTAAAATAAATTTTTTTTTTTTTTTATAAACATTTACAACAATCAACTTTAAACGATTAACAAAATTGGTTAAATATGTCATTTTCCTTATTTTTAACTTATTAATAATCAAATTAATATTAAATATTATATCAAATCAGTATTAATTTAAAACAATTTTTTTTGTTCTTAATTATTTTTTTTTATATGTAAAAACTATTTTTTAATAATATTAAAACTTAGAAGTTATAGAAAAAGTCTAATTGCACATTTTAAAACATCGCGAAAAGTTGATTTAGAATAGTATATTTTTGTTTCTGATGGAAGTTCCTTGTAGTCCAGTGTATAAAACTTATAACTTTGTTAATTGTTATAACTTTATCAAAAATGACCAAATCAGTATATTTTTTTTTATTTAGATGCATGTCTTTATCTATCATTTGGTTTTTTTTATAAATCTAACCCTTTACCTGCCCACAAGAGGGATTCAAAATATTAACTTTTTTTTTTTTAGTTAAAGTAAATCATTAAAATTAATTCAGTTCTGGATATTTCAATAGTAGAATCTTTTTAAATATCAAAAATTACTTAGAAATGATTACTATGATTTCTATTTAAGTGTTCTATTACGATAAAAATGCAAAAAATAATGAGTTTTTCTGATAAATTTACAATAAATAATAATTATAAAACTTTCTGACTGCATATTAATCTTAAAAATAACATTGTTTTAATTCTCATAAAATTTTCTATTTAATGATTCATTCTAGTCAACGAAGGAGTAATTTTGAAGAATAGCAGAAAAAATTCCCAACCAACTTTTTTTTTTTTGTTTTAATTAGGCAATTGGTAGATTATTCCAAAAACAACATCAACTCTTATTTCTTTAATTATATCATGATTAGTAGTTCTTTGATTTTAAAATATAATATTTGAATATATACTAATTATAATTATTAAATTTAGTATGAAATTGATATTTAATATTGTAATTTAAACGGAGAAATTATAAAAATAATAAAGAAGTTATATTTTGCTTTACTTTTACGTGTATAAAAATTTAAAGGGCTTGATACAATAATTTTCAATAAAAACTGTTTGTTACTATAAAAAAATGCACTGGACTACAAGGAACTTTCATCAGAAGCAAAAATATACTTTTCTAAATCAA